TAACAAAGATTTCAAACCCAAAATTTAGATTGTATTATTCAACTTGAATAATCTGGATGGAGCCTGAGAAAAATAAAAAGAGCATCATGCTTCCCTTTTCACTATAAAGCTCTATTTAAAAGGCCTTAAGAATGAAATGAAGGCAATGTTTCGTGTAAACATTCATCCTCTTCCTAAGAGCTCTCCTTTTTTTGTTCAAAGAAATGACAATGCATAACTTTGATGAGAGATTTTAAATAACTCTTCAAAAGAGATTTAGGTCACTTAAGAAAAAAAACATGAGTAAGCAATAATGACAGTGATGAAAGTGATTGTGAAAGAAACAGAGGTAGTAGTAATGGTTGCTATGAAAAAGGTAATGAACACAACAAAAAAGGTGGTTTTCGTGAACACAAATGTCAAGATGAGGATGGTGAAGGATAATGGTGATATGGTGAAAAGATAATGGCGCTGAAGACACTAGGTGAGATGGCTAATCACCAATGATGAAGGAAGCAAGGTAGCCACCAAGGGCAGTTAGATGGCTAGAATGAACTCCCCCACTATTAAGATGTAGTTTGCGACAAATATTTAGGTGGAATCGTGTAACATCTATTTCTCAATTAGCTCTAACATGTAAGATAAGGACACTTAAAAGGGGTTGAATTGATACTTCTTAATAAAATTCATTTTTAGTAATTCAAAACTTCATAAATAATACAAATAGAAGCTTAAGTAATATGACAATAAAATTTATATATGGAAGCCACATATCACAAAAATACATAAACTAAATACACAACTTGAATGAACAAATGAAGGAGAAATGATATTTCTTGGTTGTATACATTTAAACAATAATTTAAGATTCTGAATTCAATTATATTAAATCATAATGAATAAAGAATCAATTAATTTAATCATATGCAATGCACCATATAAGTGAAACTAAGTGTAAGACTATATTATTAAGATTTTGTTTGAGTCATTTTTTTTATTATTTTGCTTTTCATATCATAAACATAATTTTTATTTGACCACTATTTTCTTATGCTTTTAAAAAAATTTTTACTAAGAAGTTATTTCATACAACAATTTTATAATGTTGTTTTCTCTGCTTCAATTTTATAAAACAGTAAGAAAGTTATAGCTTTTTAGTGTAAAAATTTATTGAATTAAAAATTTTTGTACTTAAAAATTACTTTATAAAACATTAAGGCTTCATTTGGGACGGTTTTCTTACTGCTTCTTAAAGTGACATTTAAGTATACAAAATTTTAATTTTTAAACAAAAATAAAAAAGCCGTCCCAAATGGAGCCTAAAAGAGCTGTCACAAAAAAACCTAACTTTAATGGGTTTAGGCAACATATTCTATATACTAAAGAAAATACAAACAGCTAAAGTTCTCATAAACTTTATATGAGACATAATAGCGATGACATACGATTACAAGTTCGATCTCTAGTCTCTACGAACTTGATATAGATAAAAAAAAGAAAAATTATAATAAAAATTTGCTTTTAATAAAACCTACAAATGGAGATAAGAATGTTAACAAATAAAATGTAGCCTCAAAAAATAAATTAAAGTTTGAATATTTAAAAGTTCTCTTGAAAAATTTTTATTTGATCTTGTTGAATATTGTTCCTAGATTTAAGGTTGTATTAGGTTTCTTGTATGACATTTTTTTTTAGAACAAAAACTATAATATAAATAAAGCTGCGGTTACAACAGAGAATAGAAGGAAAAAAGAAAAAATAAGAGGAAAATTACAACCAAAAAGCGGGCTCAGTAATCGGCAAAGGCTTCCAGCGTCCCTGAAGCTACGCACGGGCCATCCAGTAAGGTGAAGACAGCGACCAACTACCAACCGACCCGAAAAAAGCCACACCAAAGGTTGCCACAAGCAAGACGACAGTGACGCGAGCCCCAATCACATCATAGCTCTGTATCCAGCTCGTCAACAAATCGAACAGCAAACACACACAGAAAAACCTAAAAGATAACAGGAAGCAACAACAAAGCACACGAAAATTATCGTCTACGCCTGCCTCTCCCACGAAATCTCCCCCAAGATACAACAGTTAAAGCAGGTCTAGGACGAACCAGAGTGAAATCGTTACTAGGGTCAGAACCCCAACAAAAATCCAGAGAGGCCAAGCCACATTCAGAAAATTCTGATTCAGATTCACCATCCGACGAGCCATTCAACCAATTGATATCATTCCTAACATCCAACCCCGAGAGATCACCCAATCGATTGGCCAAAGTTAGCGAATCAACCAAATGTACAGGAACCTCAATTAAACTATTGACAGCCGGATCACACGCACCATTAACACCAGACGGCTCAGTAACAGGCACCTGACCTTCCAAATACAACATCAAATTACTAACAGGCTCTGCTACAGGGGGAAAGAAAGGCAACGCATTTGGAGATAAAACATTCAATCCAATTTCCTCTCTAGTTACACCGGAATTAACAAGAGCAGATACCGACCCAGCCAAAGCCTCCTGAGCTATATTCACCATAACAGGATCACCCACAATACAAACCTCCTCATTATTAGGCAACACCTCAAAATTAGACACTTTTTCACCCGCCAGAGGCAACACAACTTGAATAAGGGGAGACTCGGCCGAAATGTCCTCAATAACCGCAGGGGCCTCCACACCAGGAGACGAAACAACCAACTCCAGAGGCGGCACCTCACTAACAGGATTCCTAATCAACTCATTCTTAGGCATTTTCTGGTTCTCAACATCTAGAACCTCAACAACGCCAATAACAAGAGGCTTAACATTCTTAGCGAGAGGAAGATTAGAGTTAAGAAAATGCATCGTAGAGGGGGCACAGTGACCTTTAAGATGTCCCAGACACTTGCAAGACTCACAAAAATCAGGGAAAGTTTCTAATTGCACATTTTGGATATACCCAGACTCCTCAGGACCCAGCCAGATCTGTTTCGGATAAATCTTAGTCACATCCAGTTCGACTAAAACTCGCACGAGAGAGGGTCGAGAACCTACCGAGGTAGCTGAGTCCACCTTCAAAGGATTACCGAACATAGAACCTAAAGCATGAAGGATACGGGGAGTAAAGAGATGAGGTCTCAATTTAGGAAAGGATATCCAAATTGGAATGACCGGCGATTCACAACCAATGTCCAGAAGAGGCAACCACTTCGTAATTTTCATAAAATAGTTGTTCACCATATAAGATCGATGGCAAAACACACGGCTGTAATCAAGATCATTTGACAATTTAATCAAAACATGCGTTTGATCCAGAACCGTGACAGAAAACTCCGCTTTGAGTTTGAGTGTAAAGAAAAATTTTCGAATGGCATCCAGAGAAGGGCGTCGCGTGGGAAAAAAACCAACTAAGGCGAATTGAAAAGGCACAGAAAGCGCACAAAATTCAGCCTCAAAAATCCACAAAGATGATAAACCTCGGAAAGAACCATGTCGGAGATCAGGAAAACTCTCCGAAGAAGAAGAACCATAGAGGGCTTCAACAAAAGACCTAGATTTAAACGAACTAACCAAAAAACTAGGATCCTCAACCCAACGGACCGCCATCCAGTCGGAAAGGCCGGAGGAGAACACAATCGCGTCAAACAGCAGATTGAGGAAGGCAAAGTTTATAAAACCAGAGAAGAGAGCACTCCATTGACGAAAATGGACGGAAGACGACGTCGTGGAGCATCACCATCCACCGCCGACACGCCTAGGGCGAAACCCTAGCAGAGCGATGATAAAAAATATGAAAGTTTGAAAATTCCAAGTTTCTTGTATGACATGTAAAGCCTTTTGTGTCGCTTTTGTATAGCCTTAGGAGTCTATAAATATGTATAGATTGTAATAGGCTGGTTAATGGTTTGAGAAATACAGATTTCTAGTTTTTGCCAGCTCCCTCTTCCCTTCTCCTCTCTCCCTCCTCCTCTCTCAAGTTTAAGAAGAGGAAATGTTCTTCCTCTATGCAGTAAGTTTTTTACAGATCTAAAAAATAAGATCCCAAATAAGTTTTTATTCTCTCAAACTCACCCCAAAAAAATGTCATATATATAACCACTATTCCAAATTCTCCTAATGGTTCACCCTTAGCTATTCAGATTTGGGAGAAAATAATTAATATTTTAAAAAATTATTTACAAATTTGTTTTAATAAAAAGCATATCACCCAATATATTAAAATGTATGTAATAAAACTCAATGAACCCAATTAAATAGAAATTATGCTGAAAATTATTAATTTTTATAATTTTTATATATACTAATTACTATTTTTTATATTTAAAATATATCCATGCTCTGAGAAAAAACAAAATATTCTTCTGTAGGAGCATATCAATAGAAATTTGAAGTAAAAATAAAAATTGTAAATAAATTAAAAATCATAAACTATAAATTAATTATCCTTAATCAACGTAATTATGCTATATTCAAAATTTAATGATATGATTATAAAATTTTAGTTAACATAAGTTCTAAAAATTAGATCATACATAAATAAATAAGTTAAGAGTAGTTCATATATGAGATTTTTAATTATTTATAATTTCCCCATAAGAAAATCTCCATCCTAAAAATTAGTAAATTATATATATAACCCTTCATTTAATACTACTAAATGATAATTAACTATCTTACCAATCTTTAATTACAATTATTCTTAAAATACTTAAATTTAATAAATAAAATAAATTTATTTGAAAAATATTAATATTTATTCGAGCCGGTTCAAACTAGCTCGAACTAAACAAGTTCGAGCTCGACTCGTGAACTCAATAAGCTTAGCTAACGAGTTCATAAATAAATAGAATTCGAGTCCGCTTGGCTAGGCTCACTTACACGCTAAGCTCGCCTAACATAGTTCGTTTTTTCTGTTTTTGCAGGGGGAAATAATATTCTACTGTTTCGTGACTTTCGTCTCCTTGTCCCAGTTTTAGACTGTCAGAGTACATTAAAGCCTGGGAATTGGGATTCATCTCAGGTTCTTCCGTGGCTTCGTATACTGGCAACTAGTAAGGAAGAGGATCCGCATTTCTTTTTCGAGCCTCCGAAGTGATGGCAGCTCAAATGGGTTCCGGCGACGATGCAGAAGGGTCGAAGCTCCTCTTAGCGGAGGCCGGTGAGCAGGAGCACTCTTGGCGGCTCAACTTTGAAGGTTTCCGGCGTGCTGAGCTTCTGGAAGAGAGGCCCCATCGAGGGCTCCATGATTGCCTCGGCGTCTTAGGTCAGCATGGATTCTATTTAGAAACCTTGTGGTTCTTGAAACTTGATCTTTTTTTCATGTCATATTAATTGAGATTTTGATGGAAGTAGTCTGCCACTTCGCGCTACCATATTAAGAAATGGGAGTTGTTTCTTGTTCAATTTACTTCGAAAGTCATGCCAATGGCTTGCATTGGTTTGATTCATTATCTGATTACCTCCATTATTTATACGAGATTTACCAAATTTTCTGAATTCGAGAAGCTTTCCTTCGATTGATTAGGCAAAGAAGACAGTGTGGCTGATTTTTATCAACAACAAGTTGAGACGTTGGATGGTTTTGGTGAAATGGATGATTTGACTGATCGTGGTTTTTTACCCAAAATATCAAAGGTAAATTGGTTTTCTTTTTGTTATACTCCTTACAGTGAAGATAATTTACTATTTTAACTTGGAAACAGTTTGTCTTGGATTGATATGGATTTGGAATGTGCAGAAAGAGCGTGAAAAGGTTGCCAAGAGTGAGAACCTAGCTATCCGGATATCGAATATAGCAAATATGGTTCTCTTTGCTGCCAAAGTTTATGCGTCAATTAGAAGTGGTTCATTGGCAATCATAGCATCCACATTGGATTCTCTTCTTGATCTACTGTCAGGTTTCATCCTGTGGTTTACTGCAATCTCTATGCAGACACCAAATCCATATAAATATCCAATTGGGAAAAGGCGCATGCAATCACTTGTAAGTTTTTATTTTGAAATTTGGTGCTCTTAGTTTAATCTGCATAGATTTTCTCTTCTTGTCCGGATTTTTCCAATGGACACAGTTTAGATTTCTGTACTAAAAGTTGGTATACTAGTTCCAGGAATTAAATCACTTCAAAATAATTTGTTAAGATAGCCATGGTGGTGCTCTAAGTGTGCCTTTGGAAATATTCGACAGATTTAAATTTGGGTAGTTTTGAAGGATGTTTAATAAACCGTGCCTGAATCTCCGAATAAATTCAACTGGAGTGGCATTTTCCAGGGTGACAATTTTGTTAAACCTAAAAGATTTAGGTATATACCTTTATTGTGGTATATATTGATGGAAGGATCTTTCAAAGTGTTGAACTCTAATAATTTCTCTTGCCTTCTTCAATGGCTGTTAGTTTCGGACTTGCTAATTGCTAGTATTCCTGCCAAGGGAATGATTTTATAGTTGAAATATAAATGATCTCGTGCTATATAAGAGCTAACTGGCCTTTTTTTTCTTGTTTTCCACATTCAATTAACCAAAATTATATTCTTTCAGGGAATTCTTGTATTCGCATCTGTCATGGCAACCCTAGGCCTCCAAATAATCCTGGAGTCTGTACGTTCACTCTCATCTCATGTAAGAGTTTCTGTTTTTAGATCATTCTCTTGAGCTTGTGACTAGTGTTTGCACGCTACTATTTAGTAATGAGGTTGTAACCGCCACAAATATTTTCGCTTGTTCCTCTTTCATTTGTGAACTGCGGGTTTTAAAAGTGTTGAGAACAAAGCCCTACATGGGGTTCTGGTTGGGTACCCATTGGGTAACCATGCTTTACTCGGACGGGCTTCGCCCACCCACGCCCACCCATGGTGACTTTCTGGATGCTGTACCCACCCACTTTCCATGCTTTTTGAATGCAGTCTGCCACGGACTAATGGCCTTAAGGCTTGTTATCCTTTGCTATGATTGCAAATTTTCAAGCCGCATATCATAATTTACCGTAGTCGCAGCGTGGTTTAATGTTGCACACTATGTGGTGAGGATTGTAGTAATATAAGATATCCATTAATTAGAAATGTAAATCGATTCATCCCTCGATGTTGAGTACCCATCTATACGCACACACAAGGCTATGAGCATAATCATACCCACCTATACCCATTGGATATGGGTGGGTATATGGGTGGGTGTGGGTATGAGTACCCACTGCAGGGCTCTGGTTGAGAATTTTGTACTTAAAGAGCTTTTTTTTTTGGGTACTTGAATTCCTTTCAAGTTTGCATAATTTGTTCAGGAGAATGAATTCAGCTTAACTAAGGAACAAGAGAGATGGGTTGTAAACATCATGTTATCTGTGACGCTTGTGAAGCTATCTCTGGTTGTCTTCTGCCGTTCGTTCACAAATGAGATTGTCAAGGCTTACGCGCAGGACCACTTTTTTGATGTTATCACTAATCTCATTGGACTCTTAGCTGCACTTCTTGCCACTTACATAGTGGGTTGGATTGACCCTGTTGGCGCCAGCATTGTGAGTATTTTTATTATCTTTACATCAAAAGCTCTCAGTGGTAAGAAATTGACACTGGATTGGTTCCATATTAAGAACTTTTCTCTATAAATTGTTGTACTATATTTAGGGGCTGTTTGGTAGCACCCAGGATTTGATTTAAAGAGGATTTCGTAAATCTGCTAAATCCGGATTTCGGAAACTTCTGAGGGGCTTAAATCTAGAATACTATTTGGTAACATGCATGATAAATTTTATTAAATCTCGTGTAACTGTTTGGCTATAGAACAGATTTAATAAGAAGACTCTTCCTCTCCAACCAACGGATTTTATAAATCCGGCAAAAAATAGGATTTCGAAAATCTGAAATTTAGCGTGAAAAGATGGAATTTTCAGTCTACAGTGGCTTTCATTTGCCGTGATATTTTATTTTGCATTGTAGGCCGTTTGGCTCAATATCGCTCAAATCCACCACAAATCCGGCCTAAATCCTGCTACCAAACAGCCCCTTAGGGTCTATTTGGGATAGCTATCTCATAAATTTATTCTTCAAGCAATAATCTCAGTCCTCTTTTGCTACAACTTTTTGTTAGTTCTAAGAAAATTTTGCGGAAAAAGAGAAATTTTATTGAATTTCGCCACTAAGACCTCTCCTGCTACTCTAGTTAGCACTTTACACCATTCGAACTTGGTCTCAAACTGTACTGGAAAACGTGAAATCTCTGGTAGGCCAGACGGCGGCGCCGGAGTTCCTCCAAAAGCTTACATACCTCTGCTGTAATCACCACAGAGCCATCAGACACATTGACACTGTTCGAGCGTATACATTTGGTTCTCATTACTTTGTTGAGGTGGACGTAGTCTTGCCTTCAGATATGCCTCTAAGAGAAGCACATGATATTGGCGAGGCATTACAGGAGAAGCTTGAGCTTTTGCCTCAAGTGGAGAGAGCCTTTGTTCATCTAGACTATGAGTATTTGCATCGCCCTGAGCATGCTCAAGCTCATGATTTATAGCTCAAGTCGTTTTTAGCTTGGGCTTTTTTATTTTAATTTAAACTTTGTTTGGGACGGCTTTCTTACTACTTCTTAAAGCAGCTTTTTAGTAAAAAAAAAAAAATTATGCTAAAAAGCTTCTTTAAAAAACAGTAAGAAAACAGTCCCAAACGAAAACTTAGTTGTAAAGGCTTTCTGTTTTATTTTCCTCTTGTTGCTTTGCTTTGAATAAAGGCCAAAAGCTCTCAGATGATAGATCTCTCTCTTGCGTTAAGATTTAGGAATGTTGTGTTTATTTAGATTTCGTTTGGGATAGCTTTCTTATTGCTTCTAAAAAAATTTTTAGTTGTACTAGAAAGCTACATTAAGGCTTCGTTTGGGACGGCTTTTTTATTGCTTTCTAAAACAGAGTTTTAGTACAAAATTTTTTAATGAATGAGATTTAAGTGGCATTGTTATCAAAAACTGGCCTAAGAAATAGTAAAAAAACTGTCCCAAACAAAACCTTAGTCGTCATGATCATATAATGAATGAGATCTTCGCTGAAAGTCATGTCATAGGCCAGTTTTTGAGATTTAAGTGGCATTGTTATAAATTGCAGTAGTTAATCGTTCATTTTATAAATAGATTTACACGGAAAATTACTTTTAAAAGGATTAGCTGCTAACGGCAGTGTTTTATAGATGATTTATATGAATTATTTTGGCAAATGCAGAAAAAATTGTGCTCTATAATTTGGGAAAAAAAAGGAATTTTGTTAGGACTTTGGAAAGTCATTAGAAAGATTGTAAATAAGAAATCGCGAACAAAAAGTGGTGCTGCTAACAATTGTTAATGTTAACTAAGTAATGCTATGTAATCTGAAAATTCTCGTTTGAATTCAGTGCCTCTTTGTTGGCTCTTACAAATATTTTAATTGTTTTACAAATTTACAATCCTACGATTCTCACATTTTTTTTTTGTTTAAAGATTTGTCTCATTCTGACCGCTACTTACAATCAACTTACCATAAAGTCAAAATAAAAAATAAAAAAAAAAATAAAACCTTAACCATAAAGTCCTACATTTATCGCATATTTCTGCGGAGGATCTACTAAACTTGATACATCATAAAAAAAAAATCATGATATAGCATGAATCTCAAGGCATATTTGATTGGAAACTTTTAAAATTAAATTCATGATCATTTGAACTTAGATTTTAGCAAATTCATAGTTGAAATGAAACTCTTGACGAGAGTCGTGAGACTAACCTAATGACAAAAAATGGACTTGATACATCATCAAAAATTGTCTTGACGGAACATATTGGAAACTTCTAAAATTAAATGTGACTTCATTCGTGCTCCAACTTTAGAGAATTTATAGTTAAACTGAATGTCTCGAAAAGACGAACCTAATAACATCAAAATCAGTCTAATCCAAGCCTAAAACCGATCCAAATTGAGGGCCTGAAGTACATTTGGAAGGCTCAAAACCTGAATTGGATGACCAAATGATATCCAAATATGATATACTTATAGTCGAATCAAACGGCTAGGCGAGATGAATCCAACGAGCCCAAGATTATTGAATTTCAACATCATTAAGACACTGAAACACTATGCAAGATGATATACTCATGCTCTCATAACTCCCACTCACACGGCACAAAACTCATGCGAATTGCTCTCTCCCATTCGGCACATACCTTACGCACGGACAGAGATGCATGTCTCTACTTGTTCGTCTCAGCCTACGGTCCCAAGCCGCATGCAAAGTGAGAGATCTATGACAATTAAAATTAAAAATATGATATGAAAATAACCATGCATCAAAATATAATTTTTTCTATACAATAACAATATTATGTCCTATGAAAATTCAATATATATTTTTTTAATTTAGAATACAAATTTCTTCTTATTTATAAATAATATTTAAATAATTCAAATATCTTAATTTTTTTCCAATTTAATTGTAAAAATGGCTCAATAAGCTTTAATTATTAAAAGAAAGGGGCTGGAAGAGGTGAGGGAATCGGGCCCATGCAAAGTGCACCAATAAGGAAACACCGCGTGACCCCCCATCGAACCCATTCCTTGTCATTCACAACGGGTGGCACAAACACAGCATAGCATCAATGTTTTTTCTAAGTTCTTTAGAGGATAAAACATTGGAAAAAACCTCCTTTATTTCCTAAAGAGAAACCTTAGAGAGCTAAGGATTGTTTAGGGTTTCAATACATTACTTATGTTGTGCCTCCGACAACCCCTCTAACATGTTGCCACCCATCATTGTAATATATATGATTTAAACTTTAAATGCTTCATGATGTGGGACTAAACAAATGAGTGGAGTGTCCATATTCATGCTACGCTCATTCTCAACTCTATTTTGACACCTCATTAAAACGAATAAAAATGTGATTTCATGCACACTTCCTTAGGTCTGACTGTATATATATTTTTCTAATAATTTAATTATTAAATTATCTAATATTTCAATATAGTTGGAGATCTATTGCAACTAAAATTAGAAACATGATAGAAAACTGTCCTGCATTTAAAAATTAGCATAGACTGCTTAATGTGGCGGGCACACGATGAACTTTAGTAGAAGGCGCAAGAATAATTCGCTTTGTGCTGGCCACGCACATGTTATGAAGATAGCGTCAGCATTGTGCATTTAATTTAAGAAATTGAAAATTTAAGAGATCAGACATTTGCGATGTGGGACAAAATGCTTTATGTCCTTGCTTATAAGGCGAGCTAATATAGGAGAGTAAAATAAAAGGCACGAAAATTTAAAACATCTATTTATTTTGGATGATTAAAGTCTTTCAAATCATAATATTTTTTTTTTAAAAAATATCTATTTCATTCAAAAATATTAGATGTGTTGCATCATGGAGTATTCGCGGTGGTAGAGAAATATAAAGTTTAACGTCTTAACTTTGTACGAAAATCCGGCACACAATCAGATAAGAGAGAGGGTGCATCATTCACTAGAGACACCAATATTTTACGTGGAAAACCTCTAAAAAGAGGGAAAATCACAGGGCCTAGCCCAGTTTGAATTAATCCACTAATATTGCAGTTGATTACAAATGAGGCCCCTCCTTGGAGAAGGCCTTAGCTTGATGTACATCTTATAGAGTACATTATATGATGTGAATACAAAAAGTCACTATTGATGTGTTCGTTTGGTCGGGATGACCGCTCGTCGGTGGACGATGTAAGTCGAAAGGATCGTAGTCGGCGGGCAACGGATGTCAGAAGGACCATAGCCAGCGGGCGACAAAGGTTGGAATGACTATAGTCGGTGGGCGACGTAAGCCAAAATGACCGTAGTCAGCGGGGGGACGGAGGTCAGAAGGACTGTAATCGGCGGGCGACATAAGTCAGAAGGACTGTGTAAGGTAGAAGCCTAGCAATTGATATAAATTTAGCATCGGATAAATGTCTGGCTAAAATCTAACGACAGACAGAAGTCTGGCGTTGGGTAGAACTCTGGCGACGAGTGGAGGTCCGGCATAGGGTAGAAGTCTGACTTCAGTCGGCAGCCGGGGAGAACTTCGACGTTAGATGTTATTCGGGAAGAACTCCAGCGTCACTTGGAGTTCGAGAGAAACTCCGGTGTCACTTGGAGGTCGGACAAAATTCCGGCGTCACTGGCAAAATTTTGACATCACCTGGAGATCGGGCGGAATTTCGACGTCACTTGGAGTTTGGGTGGAACTTCATCATCATTTAAAGGTTGGACAGAAATTCGGCGTTACTTGGAGTTTGGGTGAAACTCCAGCGTCACTTGAAGGTTGGACGGAATTTCGGCATCACTTCGACAGAATTATGACGTCACTTGGGCGTCAGACAGAATTCCGGCGTTGGTCGAGGAGGAGTTTCTTCCCTCCTATCCTTCTCTTCTTCTTGCTTGGTCCCCCTCTCAAGAGAAATGAGGGGTCTATTTATAGATTTCTGGAGTGGCATGGCCCGTAAATAGATGAGAGATCAGGGGCAAATGTGGAGTGGTTTGGATGGACGGTTGATATTGAATTTTTTGACTGTATATATATTTATCTAATAATTTAATTATTAAATTATCTAATATTTCAATATAGTTGGAGATCTATTGCAACTAAAATTAGAAACATGATAGAAAACTACCCTGCATTTAAAAATTAGCATAGACTGGTTAATGTGGCGGGCACACGGTGTACTTTAGTAAAAGGCGCAAGAATAATTCGCTTTGTGCTGGCCACGCACATGTTATGAAGATAGCGTCAGCATTGTGCATTTAATTTAAGAAATTGAAAATTTAAGAGATCAGACATTTGCGATGTGGGACAAAATGCTTTATGTCCTTGCTTATAAGGCGAGCTAATATAGGAGAGTAAAATAAAAGGCACGAAAATTTAAAACATCTATTTATTTTGGATGATTAAAGTCTTTCAAATCATAATATTTTTTTAAAAAATGAATTATCTATTTCATTCAAAAATATTAGATGATTGGAATTTAATAGATTTAATAATATTTATTGTCATGGGCGGATCCACCTTAAACCCATGAAGGGCAATTGTCCCACCCCATCTCGAAAAATAATTTTTTTTATTAGATGATTATTTAGGTAATTTGTCTTTATTCATGTATTTTTTAGCCTTTATTATAAGAGTTTTAAAATACTATGGCATTTAGGCAATTGCCCCAACATAATTAAACAAATTGCAAAATTCACTTTGTAACAAGCGATACAAAAATGTAACAAGAAAAACCATGGGGTCTGACCCAATTGCAAAATTCACTTTGTAACAAGCGATACAAAAATGTTCCTATCCTGATTAATGATAAAGAGGAAAATACAAAGATCAACAGAAATTGGATACAATATTGACAATATTTTAGAAATGTTGATGATTTCTGATGTCGATCGTCAACGATGATGGTGGTTGTTGGTGGTAATGACTGGTGGTTGTTGTCAGCGACGATTGCTGGAAAATATATGAAAGATATCTGATTCTTCCCCTTTTTCATTCTTTTCTCTTTTTAGAGGCATTAGGCAAACAATATGCGGGACAAAAAATAGGCCAACAATTACCACTCAAATGCCCTATGCATTTACAAGTAGCACAAAATGAGGGGAAAGCCTCCATAACAAGATGTTGAATATATAACAACATGCTGAATATAGTCAAATTTCTCAGGTCCCAACCACACTTTATCAGGATAAGTTTTTGTGATGTCAAGCTCAACCAGAACGTGAGCAACATAAGGACGAGAACCAATGGAAGTAGCGTTATCAACCTTCAACAATCTACCAAACAACAAACTCAAGCCATGAAGGGCGGAGCTAAGGGAAAGAGACTTGAATAGGGATAACATGGAGTCGCCACCAACATCAACAAGAGGAGATCATTTGGTCAATTTCATATAGCAATTGTTAACTAAATAAGATCTATGACAAAAAACCCTACTATAATCAAGATCATTAATCATTTTAATCAAAATATGCGACGGATCAAGCAAGATAACCGAGACTTCACCAATAAGCTTAAGGTTGAAGAAGAACCTACAAATGGAGTCAAGATAAGGGTGCTTAGAGGGTTTTTCCTTCTTCTCTTTTCCCCTTTTTAGTGAAGAATAAAGGATCTTTTTATAGTTTTTTGGGAGTAGCATGACTAGTAAATAGATAGAAGATCATGAGCATGTTGAGAATGTTTCAATAGACGGCTAATATCAACTCCCTTGATCATCAATCATTTATCGAGCATTTGAGTGTCTTAATGATGTCAGAATTCGGAGATTCGTCTTGTCGAGTCACTCGATTTAACTGTAAGCACATCACATTTGAATTTCATTTGGTCATCCAACTAATATTATGAAGTTTTCAAATAGGGATTGGTCATTTGATTTGGACCCATTTCGGCTCGGATTGGATCGAATTTAGTGTCTTTGGATTTGTCTCCTTAAGATGTTCAATTTGGATATACTCTTGTTGAAATCGGAGTTCAAATGATTTTGATTTTACTTTTGAATATTCTTGCCTGATCAATATAATTTTTTGATGATATATGATTTGTAACATTAATTAGCATGCATGAATTTTTGCATAATTTTGAAATTTCTAATGATTTAAATATTTATGTTAGGAATTATAGGAATTAATTTTGATATTATAGGAACTTCATTTTTAATAAAATTATAGTTGAGATAGCCATCTTAATACAACAAATTCAATGATTCTAATGCCCGTAAATTTGGGTCTGATTGAGCATAAATCAAATATTAATATAGATGATTGTAATTTTTTCTAGTTCATTTGAGGGTCAAACGCCCTCCAGAATTTATATTTTTTATGATCAAAATAAATATCTCGATAATAGATTATATCATAATCAACCCATATGTTTACATGATAAAAGTTTGCAACCAACATATTTAGATAATTTTAGTAATCTACAAAGTGCTAATTTATTATACTTATGAAATTTAAATGATGTTGTTAAAATAAAATAACTTAACTGTTAATTTTGTACAAGGACATGATTAAAAATGCATATATTTTTTAATTTAGATAAATTAAAATATTAATAATTGACATGTATGTAATTGCTCAATAAATTTGAATTATGCTGAAGGGTGTAATTTAATTAAATTAAACACTTAAAAAATGGTGTTTATTACTTAAAAGTGGTGCCCACACTATATTCTTGTTGTGGGGTAGAGTATATGTGGCGATAGAGTTATAATATTGCATCTTAGCGTTATACGGATATCCAGCTCACATATAGAGAATACAAGATTTTTTACGTGGAAAGCCTTGGAAAGGGGAAAACCCATGGGGTCTTATCCAGTTGAAATGATTCTAATAGTGTTTGGGTAGATTACAGTGGGCTGACTCGTCCCTGAGGGCGATCAGATTACAAATGTCAACCATATGATTGAAACCTGGTGACAAACGGGGATGAAAGTCCAGTGTCACTTTGTGGACTGATAGAAGTTTGACATTACTTGAAAATTCGAGTGTCAGTTGGTAGAACTCTATGCGTTAGGTGGTGGTCCAGCAGAAGTCCTGGCCTCATGTGATGGTCCGACATAAGTATGGGCCTCAAGTGGTGGTCTAACAGAAGTATGGGACTCATGTGGTGGACCGGTGGAACTTCGGCCGTCAGGTGGTGGTCCGGCAGAAGTCCGGGCCTCATGTGGTGGTCCGGCAGAAGTACGGGCCTTAGGTGGATGACCAGCAGAAGTCTGAGCCTCAGGTGTTGGTCCAGCAGAAGTTCGGGCCTCCGGTGATGGTCCGAAAGAAGTTCAGGACTCAGGTGGTGGTCCAACAGAAGTCCAAGCCTCAGGTGGTGGACCAACGGAACTCCGGGCGGTGGTCGAGGAGGAGCAAGGAGGCAAGAGCGATCTCCGATCTCTCTCTTGTTTCCTTTGGCTTAGGGTCCCTTTTTAAGAGGAAGGAGGTGTCTATTTATAGTTTCCTAAGAGTGGCATGACTCGTAAATAGGAGGAAGATCAAGTGTAAATGGGGAGTGGTTTGAATGGATGACTGATGTTGAATCCCTTGATCGTGGACTGTTCGCTAGACATTTGAAGTTTTTAATGATGTCGAAATTCCTTGATCTTGGGCTCATTGGTTTCTTCTCATCGAGCTGCTCGATTCGACTCTAAGCATGTCACACTTAGTAATCCAAGTTGTGGTTCAAACCTTCTAACAGTGCTTTGGGCCCTTGATTTGGACCCATTTTGGCTCGGATTGAGTCAAATTTGGTGTCGTTGAGTTTATATTCTTGAGACGTTCAGTTCGACTGTAATTTTGCTGAAATCGGAGTTTGGATGGGCCCAATTTCAATTTTGGAAGTTTCCAACTTGATTTTTCTTCGAGTTTCGTACCTGATCAAGATACTTTTTTGATGATGTATCAATTCTTTAATTTGGTTGGATAAAAAAGGAATGTTGTGTAAAGGAATACAATGTTAAAGGAATACTTGGGAGCTGTTTGAATGAGTATACAGTCAATGTAGGTGAATGCTTTTATTTTTGTTTGATTTGAAGTAAAATAAATGTAGTGTAAAATTCAAAGATATTGATGGTCAACGGCGAGTGGAGGCGGATGGTGTCAGCTAGTGGTGGCAGATGGTGGTGTCCAGCGGTGGGTGGCAAACGGGTAGTGGCGTAGATCAAGCGAGCTTACTTGTGCTAAAAACAGTTCTCACTCAAAACTAGGCGAGTTTAGTTTACCTCAAAAATGAGCTACAATATTTTACACTATATTTTTACCTTACTATGTATTCATTTTTCATCCAACCAAACATCAATATTTTCAAAAACATTGCATTTGGAATTTACACCCATTTTACTTCTAACCAAACAGTCCCTAAAAGAGGAAAAAACTTTGTTTTTCAAACCAAGGATAAGAAGTGCTTCATTTGTGCCTAAATGAAACAATTTAAAGCATAATTATAATTTTCTTAAAACCTTTTTAATGGGTCAAGCAACTTCCAAATTATGTGTGCTTATAATTAAATAAGCATCGCCGTAAGATGATTGTGACAAATTTAGGCTCAAGTAAATATGAATTTATTAAGGGTTGAAATCTTCAACAAAAATGAAAAGATTAAGCATTAGATCATCCCATAAACTGTCTAAAGATAATTCAAGACAGGGATCAGGCTACCTCTCCCAAAATATATAAATATATTTCACTAATTCTCATTTTTTCTACATTAAATACTCAAGGAAATCTAAAATTCATAAATAATTCTACCATCTAACGACTATGATACATGCTCTCACTTACCACCCAATGTTAGCTATTGACCAATGCACGTAAATTGTTGTCACCCGATGATTATCGTTGACCATTTTAATACCCGCAGTCATCAACACTTGCCATTATCAATCAATGAATACGTATGTCATCATCCATTGCTCAGTGTTGAGCATTAAGTAATATTAGTGCCTATCATTATCCACAATTAAACACTGAAAGTTAAATGATGCCAGCTCCCACCCTTAAACATTGCATGATGTCAGTTATTAATTGATATTAATGGTCCCATCGACTATTAATTAAGACTTACAAACAATCTATTTGATACGTATCAAATACTAATATTTGACACTCATCTTTCTAGTGCCCAATCTCTCATCCATCAAGAGCATGCTCAAGCTGATCAAGACCTCTTAACATTTTCCAACATTCCCCACACTACATCAGCCACCATCCTTTGCTAACATTGAATGATCCTTGGCTAACACCTTCTAACATCTACTGTCAACTAATGTCCATAAAAAAATGAAAGATGCATTTTATAGATGTCTTGCCATATGACTCTTATTGAAAGCAAAAAAAATATAATATAAGCAGTAAACAAATATTTTATTAATATAATTCATAAATCATATAAAGAATGTGCGACATGTCATCGAGTTTCTATTACATGAGAGGATATAATATTTCTAAGGAAAAAAATAATTGTATGATACATCAACAAGATGCTCACATCTTTGTCATCACTGCATATCACTTTCATCAACTCATTATTAACACAAACTTATAAATTTGAGAAAGATCCATGAATGATTATAATGGCATTAGACCTTCATTATAAGCAACAATCCCAAACTACATCAACAATCATTCTTTCAAAAGGTTTCAGGTCAAGATCTTGTCTCTCCTTCTATGTTATAATGACCTTGAATATCCCTTCATGAGCAATCACATCATGATTTGAATCTTACAATAATACTTCGGTTACCAATAACAATCCACCTCAATCATGAACAAGAGATGGTCTTCCTACACGTGAACTTATCGAGTCACCAAAATATTTTTACTGATGGTTAATTCAATGACATCAATCATCACCTAACTTACTTCGACCACTATCTTACATGATGCATAAGTATGATTAAATTCATATGAAAACAATTTTTTAGTAGGAAATAAATTTAGTGACAATTTTCTACTTCAAATAAGGGTCTCTTTTTTCTTTAGCATAAAGTTTTTCTTGGGTTTGAAAAGAGAAATTGTAGTAATTTTTGTCATATATGCAATAGTGAATCATGATTAGAAAATGCAATATCTTATTATGCTATGGAAATAAAAATGGCATTTAGTTAGCCCCTAAAGATGAAAGTCTCAATTGACGTGAGTCTTCTTAGAATGATCAAAATTTGCTTAGGACCTATGTGGCTTACTTAGATTTGTACCCACCAAACCACCCCATCTAGCTCATGTTAGGCAATCTTATCCTAGCTTAGTTGCTCATCAATCCTTGACTGACCTTAAAAATTTCAAGGAACCCTCATATCCTTTAGGCTTTGAGCCTTTACGTGATCTCCTATATATGATTATAATTCCTTAATAGACTCGACATGTACAAACCTTAATGTATGTTGGATATTTTGACTTTAATGGACCTTAACATAGTCATGTTAGGGGACACTAAATCACATTGAGCTCTAGCTTTGTTTAAATCACATTTAGGGTGGTATTTGACATCGTAGAACTTGGTGACACCAAAATCCCTTAGGTTTAACCCAAGTCATAGGTGATTGAAAATAATTTGTTAAACCTTGACCTCTAACAATATTGTTGACCCTCTTTTGGGAGCAAATCAAACTTGAATATAACATTGATTATCTTGGTTCAAATTCCAATCTAGAGGACAAGGCTTAACCATGGAACCTTTATTGATCTTTCACCCATTGAGCTCTTATTTGAGCTAAACATTTATCAAACTTCAAATAATAATAATAATAATAATAATAATAATAATATGATGATGGATCACTATTCAAGTACTATCTTATCGAAATCTCGTTCTTTAAAGACGATTTATTCATCGACAAATATGAGCTAGGGTTGCTCAAGTTGACATGATACAAGAAGATGATCAAATGATACACTCATGCATTGATAATAGAAGCACTTGAAGGGAAGGCCTATTATAATCGAGTTTGATGGGCAAATTCACCTTGAAACATTCGAGTTCATCTATTTTAAGACCTTTCATTAATCCATTTCTATTTTTTTCAATGTTTACAAACTCGTAATAATTTATAAATTCTTAGTTCTAATACATAAACTTTCATGATATTCAAAAAAAATTCTTATATTGTGGGATAAAGATTTGATGTTGTTGTTGATTTCATCTCCAAGTTAAATTATACACTTCTAGTATACTTTGAGTTTATGATTCAAATAATTTATATTAAGCAAATAGTCTCCAAATTTGTTGATTTTTTTATATGCATTCTTTATTTTTATTTTGAAGTTAAATTAAAAATTGCAGCTCGCTGCATATTTCAACAAAACATTTTAAACTTTATACGTCACTCTGCACCTTTCAAAGACGGAACGCAACTGGTCAGCCATTGCATCCACATGCATGCGCTGGTGAGACAAAAAACAAAACAACTGGAAGCGGCCGTATCTTGAGACGTAACTTAATTTAACTAATCGATTGGCTCTCTGCTTCAGGTCGATTTCTTGGGTCTCTTCGTCGGTGTCGAACTTTCTTTTCTTCTTTTCCTCCGGCGGCGAAGGGAGCTTGAACTTAGGCGGCCCACCGCCGTCACGGTGCAGGACGCTTCGCTTCTATCTGTCGCAGCCCTTGATGGAGATCTCCTACGCAACGTCAAGCATCGTCGATGCTGTTTCGGATGCCTCTGGAGAACGGCCGGTGAAGGTATTGCCGCTGTTACATCCATCGTTGTCGTCCTTTCGGCGGCCGTCGGCACCTTTCCTCAGCCGGTGGGTTTCAAGGCTCCGGGAGATGTCGTCGTTGGAATGGATGGAGCTCTTTCTTCCCTGCACTCGGTGGATTCGGACCTATAACTGGAGGGAGTTTCTCCAGGCCGATCTTATGGCAGGGGTCACCGTCGGAATCATGCTTGTTCCTCAGGTGCGGAGTTCTCTTAAATCCCTTCTATTCTTTTCATATTCATTTAAGCGGTAAAAGCTGATGTACTTGAAGAAATTATTGTGAAATTCCTTTTCTAGATTTATACCTAGTTTCCATGCACGCGTTTTAATTTCCAAATATTTTCTTTCTTTGATTCATTAAGGCTGGGATTCTGTTGGTCGGGCATTATAGGATGAGCATCCTGGTTAAAGATGGAAATAGGGCAAGGGTTCTAAAAACTTGTAAAATAGAATTTTGGGCATTTTACATTCTACCATTTTGATAAATCCCATTTAAATCCTAGCTTTGGCTAAATCCAGAATTTTTTAAAATGTGCCATTCATTAGATTTAAGTATATTTCCCTCTCACAAATCATAATTCTTGAAACAAATAGGCAAACAAATTATCAGGATTTATGAAGATTTTACAATTGTCATTCTAAATTAGTTTGTAAGTTTTGATCCTCTCCAATGTTTAAAATTGCGCAAATAGGTATTGAGGTATTTTTTGTTCATGAGGCGAGGCGTCAAGGTGTTTCGATGCGTAACCCTCAAAATAAAATATTTCGTTAATTACAAATAAATCTTAAAAATAAATTTTTATAGAATACCTAAATAATATGTTAAAAGATGATAAATTATCTTTCTATTGAACTATGAAGTAACACAATGACATATGAAATAAAAAATTGCACTAGACACAAAGTGCTTAGTGATGAATTGCATGAAATATAATTGAAATACAAATATTATATGAGCAAAAAATTATTAAATATAGAATATGCATAAAGGTATCATATAACATTAAGTTCAACTTTAAATTCTTTATTTCTTGGCTCTCTACTTATCTATATTTAATTTCTAAAAAAGGCTGTAAAGTTGGCAACAATTAGAAAATCATATGTATTGTCATTACTAAGAGGATATTTATTTGAGTCGTCATTATAACAAATTGATTTCTCCACTGTCTTGTCCTGTGGAGTCCAATGCCTCCCAATATGCTTCTTCTTCATTTATTGCAGGCATCTTACTCTTTCATAAATGTATTTTAATAATATAAAGATGAGATTAATACTCCAAAAATTTTAGAGGTGGTGGGGTGTGTGGCTTTCAAGTGATCCTTGACGATGGTTATGATGGTGGTGGCTGTGGCGAAGGCGACGGGCTGGAGGTTGAGAGGAAATTGCTACAACTTGGGGGTGCACGAAGTGTGATTTGTTCAGGTTAGGCGTAAGCCTCATGTCAGTGAGGCGAGGCGAGCCTCAAGGCGTGCCTCATAAAAGAAACTCGAGGCGTAAACCTCGAGGCATTTTTCACTGGAATTGTGCAAAGGCGGTCCTCAAGGCGAGCCTCATATTCCGCAATTTTAAACAATGATCCTCTCAAGATTACTAAATTTGAATTTATAGGATCTATTAAATCCTGCTTGAGTTGAATTTTACTTATAGCCATACAACTTTTAAAATGATTAAATTAATGAATGATTAAATTAACGGGATAATTAGAGTAATATTATTTAAGATATAATATAGATTAATCACAGGACACAATGGATAAAAGAATTCATATAGCCAACCCCACGTAGTGGGACAAAGGCTTGATATTGTTGTTGTATAGAATATAGATTAAGGTGGTTTTAATATGCACAAGTGCAAAGAGGAGGATAGAAAATGAATTATTAAACAACCAGATAAAATTTATGTTGAAGAATTAGAAAAGAAATACTGGTAAACCTAAAGTAATGTTAGTAGAAGTTGTTTAATGTGATTTGTGAAGCATAGATTTGTTATGTATGGAATGTGGTTGTGTTGATCAATTTGGTAGTTCTGTTATCTCGGATCTCAAAGTTTGTCGTGTTTATTGGGGGTGCGAGGGGTTTACGTAAAAAATTTTTTCCTTGCAATGCCTCTGTGCTTTATTACCCGAGGGCCCTAGCGCTATGTTCCCGAGTGCCGCAGCGCTGAACGACAAAGAGTAGAGCGCCGCAGCGGTGCAAGACATAGGCCTGAGCGCTGCAGCGCCCTAAATTGGCGCTACAGCGCTGCGAGATAGATTGGACGGTTTTCTTTCTTATTTTCTGAAGGGTTGTGTCCCTTGGAGTTATTTTACTTGGCTTTCTCTTGTATTTTCAATTATGACAAGTGTGAAAATGGTGCATATGAGAAGAGAAGCAAGTAGAGGGTGAGAGAGAAGAAATATTTGTACTTATTTCTCCCAATTTTCACAGTGGATTTCTTGGTGTGGTGTGGCTTCGTAATTTTTTTCCTATTTTGAATTTTTCCACGTTAAATCCTGGTGTCCTTTACTTTTCCGCTGCTTTTACTTTCTTGCTTGTTTCGTCATTGTGGTGTTTTACTCCTCATCATCTCATCCCAACAAGATTTTTATATTTTAGGCAACACTTAATTGTAAGCAGTGGAAAATATGGATTAAGATAGTTGACTCTGAAATAGTTAAGATAAAGTTAATGATGATGATAATGAGTATCCTGGTTTGTTAGTTATGTGGTAGGAAATCGTTTGAAAAACATTTACACAAAGTCTTGCTCTAAACAAAAAAATATGGTGAGGATTCCAAAATGTAATCTGAACTACTTGGATAAAATTGATGATAATTTGCACAGAAAAGTATGATGGAAGAAACCAGGCATGTAAGCAAAATTGCACCAACTTTATGTCATGATTCTTAATTCAAATCTAATAGTATATATCTCACATTTATCTTTGTTGATGACAATTGAACTAAATCCTTTTTCTCATCCGAGATTCTTAGTTCTGGATGCATTACTCAAGTTATATTGATAGATCTAGCGTTTTTTTTTTTAAATTTTGGTAATTAAGTTCATTAATATTTTTTTTCTTGTGAGAAATGTCAGGCAATGTCATATGCGAAGTTAGCAGGGCTTCATCCAATTTATGGACTTTGTGAGTGGTGCTCTTGAAGTGCGCTCTTTTTTAGTTTAAGTGTGATGATGCGTTGTTGCGTGAATTTTTTTCATGTTTTAATGCTGATGAGTATTATTGCCAACAGATTCTAGCTTTGTTCCAATCTTTGTCTATTCAATATTTGGTTCATCACGACAACTTGCGATTGGTCCGGTGGCTTTAGTGTCACTTTTGGTCTCCAATGTCCTGAGCAAAATAGTAGATTCTTCTGACAAGCTATACACAGAACTTGCAATCCTATTGGCCTTCATGGTTGGTGTGCTGGAATGTCTCATGGGATTATTTAGGTACTCGATCCTTTCTATCAAGTCCTACATTATAGGTGTCAAATTTTTTATTTTAAGAACTTAATATGACGTCTTATTAAATATTGTGTGCAGAAATGGCTTTGAGCTCTCTTTGGTTGGATTTTTTGTCAAATTATTATTAAATCAGCTGTTGATCTACTTCACAGATTTTACCTGTTGTAATGGTTTACGATTGTTTAGGAATGATTAAATGTCATTGTTTTTTTTTTTTTTTTTTAACATGGCTTATCGATTCGAGTATTAGTTATAACTGTCTGGCTGCAATTGTATTTTGTATGCTATCAAAGTGTCGGCCTAGAGTAATCATAGAGTTATCATGACGAGGAACCGCCAGATGTAAATCAAATAAATTTATTGAATGCAATCCCTCCAAAATGTTAATGGTGCTTATACATGTAACTTTTTCTCTTCTATGTTGAGTGAGCTTACTCTGCAGTTCTTGATATCAGGATGCTTAACAATGTTGCACATGCTACTTCTGTTTACTTTTAATGATTTACAACTTTCATAATTATGGGAACCTGAATGCAGAACCATTATATTGTAGATTTTAAATCTTGTTACACAAATGTTATCCTCATGAACAAGTTTTCGACTGTTATTTTTGTACCATATGATGCAAAGGTTGATGGAATTTTCAGATCAACCACATTTAATTTAATGTGATTTTTAGATGTATTCTTTGATATGGTTTTTCTAAGCAATTGCAATATATCTTCAGGCTTGGATGGCTGATTCGTTTTATCAGCCATTCTGTAATATCTGGCTTCACTACTGCCTCAGCCATTGTGATTGCACTATCTCAAGCCAAGTACTTCTTAGGGTACAACATAGAAAGAAGCAGCAAAATTGTTCCTCTTATTCGCAGCATAATTGCTGGAGCTAGTGATGTATGACTCAGATCCTGGTGATAATTTAATTGCATAATGTTTCTTAATATGCTTATGTAATTTTTTTACAAGGTTTTTAACTTGAAAACATTAACTTTTATTTAGTCATATTTGGTTATGGTGTTTTGCGTTACTTGTGAAACAAGTGAGCAATAAACTTCATTTGCAGGTCAAAATAATGCTATAGATTAATTGGCAATTACGGAAAAACTCTAGAATGATAATTTTCCCATTTTATAAATCATTTCTTAGTTTTCCTTCTGGATATTATCAGTTACATCTACAATTTTTGTGGGTGCATATTTTTTTTTAATTTAATTTTCTTCCGTGGTTCTTTAACTAATCATTTTCTGAAGTGCATAGTTATGATGTGAGCCATGAAACTTTGGAAGCCTGCTAAAACAAAAATGTTGCGTCTTAAAGGAAGCTGCACCAGAAGGTTTGAAATCCTTTCCAGGTATCCATACTTGATTTGGGCCTGGATACTTGACTAAGATTAAAAATTGAAGCTATCCATCATAGGTCAACCTGTAATTGTTAGCTTAGGTCTTTAGAGATAATATTGGGTATTTTTTCCATTTCCAGATTCTAGTAACGTATGCATATACTTCTAATTTCTCGACAAAAAAATTATACTATATGTCTGCTCTTAGAACTTTCTCCAAAACTACCATTCTCTGGTTTTAAGGTTACCAAATGCTGTGCTAAAATGATAGTGAAATAACAATGCGACTAAGATGAAGGATAAATTTTAGGCCTTTTTTATCATATAAATTTTATTTACACCACCAACTTGTATATAAAAATGCTGAAAGTTTTTTAGGAAAGATAAAGCCAAGTAAACTTTACTTATTGATACTGGACACTATGATATATTGATAATGAAAGAATTTTATTCGGAAAGGGGAGCAGCTCAAATTATTATTCTTGATCTAATAAGTTTGTTGTGATCCACAGCTAATTCAGTGGGGTTCAAAATATGCTTGAGAGGTTATATTAATTAATCAGAAATCATTTCCCTTAGCATAAAGATTTAAGAAAACATACTTTTGTTGAATTAAACATAAAGTTTTAGAAAGAGCGACAATGTTTGATAAGATTTTATCTCCTATGAGCCATATGATCACTTGATTGCCTGTACAAGCCTTGTCATTGGCTATTGGTTGTGGGTTGGGGGGCGGGAGGGGAGGCAAATACTCTGCTAATTGGTTTTACAATGATTGTTTCAGCTTTAAAAGTATTGCTCTAATGAGATGTAAGTTAATATGGGAAGCACTTTGTTATACATCAAATTATTCATGACGGTCAGTATGAATTTCTCCTTATTTTTTTTCTCCTTCTACCTTTTTACAACTTCAGAGTCAAGTTCTATTGCAATGGACAGTAAAGTTCCGTATGATACCACATGAGAAAATTTTGCAGCCCTCTTTTTGTATTTTCCTTCTCTAAACCTTGAGGACAAGATTTTTTTTCATGTTGATGGAGGGTTATACTTTACCATATTGTATTGGATCCGAAAATCGTACAATTGAGATGCGAAACATGGACTACAAACATGGTGGGACAACCAAAAACATATTTTTCTCAACATAATTGACAAATGTGTCAACATATAAAATAAACACTAGTTTATTTTTTTTATTAGTTTGTTTTAGGTAGACCGGTTCTATGTTGTAAATTTGATCTATCAAAGTATTATAAATACATCTCCTATTGTAAGAAAATATATGAAATGAAAATTTCTAATTTCTTCTATTTTTTTCTCTTCTAGTTTCTTCTTGGAAGTTTACACCTACTCTAAAGGTGCCTCACTTCTTGACGTAGATCAAGAAGTATAGCACACTTCCCATGCTGACTTCATATGAAGGAATCTTGGTACTCTTTGGGGCTACCAAGCATGTATGGCAGTTCTTTTCCCCTAGAAAATCTATGAAGCTATTGATTTTCATGATACTGAAATAAGCTTGTTGACGCCTTGTGTTAGACTTATTGAAATACTATGACTCAATTTCTTTGATAATTCTTTCCTGAACCAAAGGAGTTTGGATCACTTGAACTTTGTTTATAATTAATCAATCAAAATTGAGTTGAAGTACACACTGAAATCATTGATATTGTATGATGGGACTGTGTATCATTTTAGTAGTAATAATGGAATATCGGACTGGAAATAGTAATGAACTGATAAACTTGCATTTATGGTATCACGAGAAGTATGAAGCCTTTAAGCTGATCATTGAGGGTAAGCTCACTGTTGCATATTGTTTGAGGAAAAAATATCTGATGTAGGCAAAATTTCGGGTACCCCTCCCCTGGCCGCTGTTTTTGTCCTTTCGGTCCCTGTTTTCTATTTTTTTAAGGAGTTCCTATTGGTTAAATGTGTGATGCCTTAATGTCCTCCATTAATTACTCTTATCCTTTATTTTCCTATATATACTCGCTGTTTTTTCTGTTGGAAAAAGAAGTTTTTGAGTGATAATTTGTGGAATGTAAAACATGCGGGTTTTCTCTAGCTTGCGAGCTAGCCTCCTTTTTCCTTCCCCTCAATTATTTTGTCTCGGTCTTCTATCTCTTCTTCTCTATTCACGGTTCCCGCCCCATCTATATCTTTCCTCTCGAACATTTTGTAAGTTGAAGGGTGTAGTTGCGTCAATGTGTCATGTTTAGTGTTGATCTATCAAAAGTGCCTTTTAAGTTGTGATCTTGCGTTTATATTTATGTTTTAAGAAAGGAAGATCCGATTCTTTGCAATATTTAATTTTGGTTGCATCAATATCTCATTGCATTAAACCTAGATTGGTTTCTTGCATATTTAGTTCAAAACATACGAAAATTTGGAATTTATGGTAGGAATCAATAAACTTCGATAACTATATTTATGAACTATTGGTTACTTAACTATATGTAAATTGCCATTATCAGCTCTAGGAGATTTGCCGACTCCTTTATGACACAAGTTTAGGAATTTTTCTTGTCTCATATGGTGAAACTAGGTGGGCTCTTCTTGGCCTCTTTGAACACATGTTTACTAAATCAGACGTGTGTTTTTGGGGTTCAGGTAGAGTATTATGGTAATTCAAGTGTTGGTGGAAAAGTGCATTGTAAAAAAAAGGACGGGTAGCTTTCAACTTGTTGGTTTTTTCTATGAATTACTCAGTTCATCTTTCTATTACCTAACAAATAACTTGAGATGTGTATCAGTTGTTTTTATATGCTTACTGAGTGTTTGATAATAATAGTATTTATTTCATTTTCCATGTGTTCAGTTAGTTTTAAAGATGTCATCAATTTTTACTAATTCCACATGACAGTTTCTTTCTTTAGTTCAAATGGCCTCCTTTTGTCATGGGATCTTTCATTCTTGGCATCCTTCTTTTGATGAAGGAGTTGGTAAGAATTTGTATTAAGATATCTATGAACTTAGTTAAAATTCACAAACAGTTGAGCTTAATAGATTTCTTGAAATGGCGCAGGGAAAAACAAAGAAGAATTTAAGGATGCTTAGAGCGGCTGGCCCTTTAACAGCAGTCTTACTGGGGACATCTTTTGTGAAAATCTTTCATCCATCTTCAATTTCGTTGGTGAGATTAACATTATGCTTTGCAGTCGTAATGGCGTGGGAATGACCTAAGAGTCGAGAGATGTTGTTTTTATGCAATTACCCATTTGTTCAACTTCACGCAAAGAAAAATTACAGTATCAAGTATAAAATTATTGCTAACATCAAGTTCAAAAATATTGTATTGGACATATATATAAAATATAAAATAATGGCTATAGGTAGACCAAATTCAGGCACCTGAAGTTAGTTTTAATATAAGCTTGATAAATATTTGCAGATATAAATGAAGTAATTCTTAACCAATTCGGTGGTGAGCATGAATTGTGGAGGGATATAATTGTAAAGTTACCATTTAAAATTCCAATATGAGAGGGGGCAACCTTGGAGAGAGGAGAGAAATAGTTAAGTGGAGAGAAACAAGAAAACTAAGCCAAAAATTATTCCATAAATTGTTTACCTTATCCACCTTATCTTATACTGCAAATCAACTATATTTGAGAAAATTAAGGAGATTTATCATATGCAGGTCTACGTGGCAGTGATGCATTTTTGTAATTTTGAGTCCAGTTTCTCATAAATGACTCATGGATTTATTGGTTTTCCTAGGTTGGTGATGTACCCCAGGGACTGCCAAAATTTTCTGTTCCAAGAGAATTCCAGCATGCAAAATCTTTAATCTCAACAGCAGTTCTCATTACCGGTGTGGCCATCATGGTATAAAATGCCTTGGCTTCTTGATTTATCTCATCAGATCAACCCTTTATTTAATCTCCTTACTATTGTCACTTCTTTTCAATTTTAGGAATCTGTGGGAATTGCTAAAGCACTAGCAGCAAAGCATGGCTATGAATTGGACTCAAATCAAGAAGTAATTCCTTAAACTCTTATGGACCAAGGGATTCATATGTAGATAAAGATATGGATAATTTATGAGCTAATTTGTTGTTCAAAGTTGAGTGTGTTATTAATTAATGCGCTTTATGATAATGATCCATTACTATGTATTCTCTCTTCTCGTGGTGCTTTATCTAATCATCAGTGCACATGTACTGATTTAGAATGTTCATTCAAAGCGTAATATAGACTGCATTCCAAGCAAAATGTGTTGTAAGACAAGTGTTGTCTATCGAATGCTACTTCATCTTATAGAACCATTTTTTTTCACTTAATATGCTTGACTATTTATTGTTTTGTCATTGGACTTGTTATTATCGTTTGAAATTGTTTTTTGGAAAATTTTGTTATTCTAGGTTATATGCAACTGCATGAAGATGAGCATAATAGTGATTGCAATTTTATTTAAACTTCAGTATGGCAGCATAAAGTAGTATATTTGATGTCTTAAATAGATTTAGGTGTTAGGTAAAATGGGAAATTTCAGGTGTTAGATATGCATACATGATAATATTATATTATGCATGTAAATCTCTCAAGAATTCATTCAAACTCTAAATGACCAAAGAGTAAAAATATGCAATCAATCTCAATAGAAAAATAAATAAATAAATTCATTCAAAAATAAAAATAAAAATATTTTGGAATATAAGTTCTTAAAATATATGTTCCCTTAGAGTCAAATTAATGTAATTAATATATATTATGATTCATATGAAGATAAATATTTTATGCATTCAGGAAACTAAATGGGTTGGAGAGAAGGCTAATGCTTGATAGTATTGGATTTAAACTATGGTATTTTGGTAGAAGTCATATTAGAAATGATGTAGGTGTGATTAAAAATAAGAGTTTGAAGGATAATATTATAAAAAATAATAGAATTGAAGATAGAATTATAACTTTAAAAATTGTTGTTGATGTTAAGATTATTAATATTATAAGTTTTTATGCTCTTCAAGTAGATTTAGATGTGTTCAAAATAAAAATTTTAGAATGACTTAAAAGAATTAATATAAAAGATATCTATGAAAGAAATAATTTTTATTGGAGGAGATTTAAATGGACATGTTGGTAGAGAGGTAAATGATTTTAAAAGCATTCATGGTGGCTATGATTTTGGAGCGAATAATACAGGTGGTAAGTCCATGTTTGATTTCTTTTGATTATGATTTTGTAATTGCTAATACCTTATTAAAAAAAATTATTGAGTATATCATCATTTTTAAGAATGGATATAGTAAAACTCAAATTGATTATTTTTATATAAGAAAAATAGATTGTTTCTATTGCAAATATTGTAAAGTTATTATGAGTGAAAGTTTATGTACCCAAAATTGCTTATTAGTTTTGGACGTTAAGATAAAGAGAAAAAAATAAAAAATAAAGTAAAATGTTGTTTATGATTAGATGGAGGATTTTAAAAAATATTAGCAAAAGTATTTTTAAGAGTAAGATTCCAGATCTTAAGATTGTCTATATATGAGGAAGCTAATATTATGTGAAAAAAAGTAGATAGTTATATTAAGAATGTTGCAAAAGATGTGCTTGGAGTATCAAAGAGAAAAGTTCATAATAGTAAACATATTTGGTAATGGAATCAAAATGTGTAAAAAAGTTAAAAAATAAGAAGATTTGTTATAAAAATTGGTTTAAATATAAAAATTTTTATTATTGGAAAATATATAAAGAGACCCGTATGTAGTCTAAGAAAATAATATGTGATGCAAAGATTTTAGCGTTTAATGATTTATATAATAGAGTTGATATTAAGGAGGATGAAAGATATATGTATAAGTTAGCCAAACAAAGAGATAGGAGTAGCAAGGATTTAGTTCAAGTGAAATGTATTAAGGATGAAGATCAAAAAATATTTTTATTAGAAGAGAATATTCAATAAAGGGGGATAAGATATTTTGCTAAATTTTTCAATGAAGATTATGAGAATGTGATTGAATTTTGTGACCTTAGCACCCTAAATGAAAATAAAGATTTTTGTTTTTTTCAACGCACTAGTAAAACCGAAGTTAGAGATATCTTTTGGTAGAGTTTTTAGACTTATTGGGAGATCTCTGTACCTCCTCCATGGTCGCCGACTTCTTGTCGGTTATGTGAATAACCTCTAGCTTATCTGCATCGACAGGCGGTTTTTGCGGAATCGATGACTATCCTTTGTATTGGAGGGTGCTAAGAAAATGAAGTGTGAAAAACTTGTTGGACCTAATGATATTCCAATAGAAGTGTGGAAATGCTTAGGGATGAAGGAATTTCTTAGCTTACTAAACTTTTTAATATTATTTTAAAGATTAAAAAGATGCTAGATGAGTGGAGAATAAGTGTGTTGATTCTTATTTTTAAGAATAAAGGTGATGCACAAGATTGTGTGAATTATAGAGGAATGAAGTTTATGTGTCATACTTTAAAACTATGTGAAAGAGTTGTCACAACCCAACCCGACCATGACAAGTCCTTTCATGTTGAGCTATGATAGGCTAATTCCAAGATTTAGTTTTTGAATTTTTCTAATTCTCTTTCAGTAATTGTTTATAGAAATTACAGATTATAGAGCTAATAAACATCCACATATTGAAAATAAACTTATCAATAAGATTTCTTTCATGCATCAAAACATATATACACTACAGTACATGATCTGCAGAACTGAACTGAATAATAAACTAGTCATGACTATATAAAAATCAAAAGAGAAATACATGTAAACTCTGATTTGATAATGAACCACTAATCAACAGTCTCTTTCTCCTTTCTCGATCCAAAAAAATAAGAAGTAAAATCACAGTAAGCTATACAAACCAAATTTAAAATTTTAAATTATTTTATTAAATTTTGCTGAATAATTAAAAGTAGTTATATGTTGTCTAATACATCACTATACTAAGAAATGCAGTCTAATAACCAACTTACCAGGGATTGTGTAAAATAATATTTTCAGACTTTTATCGTACTATAACACTATTTTTTAGTGTCCATATAATTTTCTATTCAATAAAAATCCCACAAATTTCAAAACCTCTGTTGTAAAATTTTCAGAAAATATTTAAAATGTGCAATCTTAATCTCTATAATATATAAATAAATATGTTGTGAAAGTTTTACCAGTGCAAATGTGTAGTTTTATCCCCGTTTTTTGTTAACATAAACAAAATTTTAATAAAATTTTTTGATAAAATTTATGTATTTTTTAAAATTGAGATAAGCGTGTTGTAACTTGCCTCGAGACGAACAAGTTTTCAAACTGGGCCGATGGATGAAAACAAGTCAAAGTTGTTCAAAATCGTATTTTACTCTTCTCTCTCCTCTCTTTCTTCTCTAATTTCCCCAAGCAGTTCTTTGGTGCCCAAAAATGGAAATGGCTAATGAAAATTTTAATGCCATTTAATATAATTAAGTTAGTGGGATTGATAGTATATTAAATAATTATTCTAATTATTTAATATTAAAATATTAATTTAATCTAAAAATCTTTTAAATCTTCAAATCTAGGAATTCAAAATTTACTAAAAAAATATTCATAAATTAGCTAATCATATCCAGAATATTCTTCTGAAATCAATTTGCAAAACAAATATCTAACAGTCAAAAAAATCCTACTTGTACCGACATGTGTCAATTTTTTAAGAAATTTCACTAGTGCTAAAAAATATAAAAAATTAGGGTAATTAAAGTATTACACTATATATGTTCTGACAAAGATGGATTGTGATTTGAATTTATAATGACTCCTAAAATAATTATTGATTGTTCTAGTTCAAAAACCAAACTTTTTTTAAATTAAGGATTTTTACTAGAGTTATGGAGCATAGGTTGTGGCGTGATACTAATGTTTCTCAAAATTAATTTGGATTCATGTCGAGTATGTCTACTATGGAAGTTATACATTTATTGAGAGGTTTGATGGATAAGTATAGAGAGAATAAGGAGGATTTGCATATGATATTTATTAATTTAGAGAATGCATATAATGAAGTTTCAAGAGAAGTGCTATGGAGAGTTCTAGAGAAGAAACGAGTTAATAATGCTTATATTCAAGTCATTAATGATATGTATGCAGGAGTTGTTACTTGTGTTCAAACACAAGGTTATTTGAAAAAGTATTTTCCAATTTCAGTTGGATTATATCAAGGATCAGCCTTAAGCCCATATCTTTTTGCTTTAGTCATGGATGTTTTCACTGGAAATTTGTTAGAGGTTGTACCCTGTTGTATGTTTTTTGTTGATGATATTCTTTTTGTTGTAAGACTAGAGAGGGACTTGAAGGTAAAATTGAATTATGGATGTCAACTTTAGAGTATAAAGACATTCGTTTGAGTAGAAATAAAATTGAACTTTTAGTAATAATAGATATAGTGGGGGGAATGTGACTTTGGGCGATCAAGTCATTAATATGACTACATGTTTTAGATATCTTGGGTTTATTGTTCAGAGTGATGGTGAAGTAAATGGGGATATTATTAATAGAATTCTAGTTGAATGGTTGAAGTGGATGAATGTATTGGGCTTGTTGTGTGATAGAAAGGTCCCCTCAAACTTTAAATTCTATTAGATGGTGGTAAGACCTGCAATGCTTTATGGTGCAAAATGTTGGCCATTAAAAGAGAAGCATAATATTAAGTTAAGTGTTGCAGAGATGAGGATGCTTAGGTGGATGAGTGGGTTTACTGTTAGAGAAAGGATACAAAATGAGCATATACGTGAAAGGTTGGAGTAGCTCCAGTGGAAGATAAGATTAGAGAGAGTTGTCTTAGATGGTTTGGTCACATAAAACGGCTGCCTTCCAATTACCCGGTTAGGAAAGTAGATGTATTATATTTGATTTATGTTAAGAGAGGTAGAGGTAGATCTAAAAAAGGCTTGGCTAGAAAATATTAGAAATGAACTTTCTTTATTAGATTTAAATGAGAATTTTACTCTTAATAGGACGCAATGGAGAAAAATGATTTATGTAGCCGACCCCACATAGTGTGATAAAGGCTTGATGTTGTTGTTGTTGTAAAAAAAATAAAAAAATATGCCAGGAACAGTAAATTCACCTTAAAAAAATGCACAGGAAGAAAATATAATAACAGATGTTTTTTTTTTTTTAATTTATAATATTCATAAAATATGCTTCGGTAAGGAAGCCATAAGTTCATAAACCTTAAACTGATAAAGCACAGGGTTTTGATACATTATGCAAATCGACAAGAATAACCTTCAATGTTTAAAGAGAAAACTTCAAAACATAAAGCTTCGCCTTCAAAATATTACTTAAAATGTTTTGATGATCTCACTTTGGGATTCATAGAAGCTAGCTTTGAAGGTAGTTTCTTAGAGAATTGATCATATCATATTACAGTTAATTACATGCGACGTTGGAGCTTTGTTTTGAATTCATATGCTGTGGATGTAGATTTTTCATACGTTTATTACTCTGCATTTTACAGCTATTTGGTCTAGGTGTGGCAAACATTTGTGGCTCATTTTTCTATTCGTACCCGACAACTGGTATGAAAGCCTAGAGCCCCAGCAATTCTTGTTAGATTGAAAGTTTTTATTTGTTCGTTGCTGAGAACTCTTAGCTCATCACTAAGATTTATGTTTCCAAAATTGAATGCAGGTTCGTTTTCTAGATCAGCTGTAAATCATGAGAGTGGGGCTAAAACTGGATTATCTGGAATTACAATGGGAATTATTATGGGATGTGCTCTATTGTTTATGACTCCTTTGTTTAGAGATATACCTCAGGTATGGCTGCCTTTTTTAAGTTAAATGGCAACTGAACCCTCGATAAATTGTATCTTTTTAATAATGATTTTTTACTTCAAATTATTAGGAGGTGGGGTATGAAAAATGAGGTTATAGTGCAATGAAAATTCACTTTTTAATTACTTTTTGTTACCTATCCACCAAGAATTCCTTTCTTGACGTACTGCAACTTCTATTCCCACCTCATCCTGTAAGAGATTTCTAACATGGGAGAGGAAGATATTTGAATTGCTCTTCTAGAATTTAGTATCTTAGGTAATTTAACGAGATGAACGTTGATATCAATATGACAGCCAGGTGAATTTATTATTTTTCTATTCCCAAAATACTTCCATCCATACTTCTCTTTCTGTTTCCTTACTTCTAGCATTTTTCTTTTTTTCTCTTATTATTTAGAAGCATTTTTCTTGGATTTCAACAATCAGTGAATTAGATCACAAAGTAAAAGTCGATCAACTTTTTTATGTACATAATTTCTGGTTTCTTCTTCGGCATTCTACTTTCTTATCTTTTAACTTAAAGTGGTGAATTTTTATGCTTAAAATAGATTTGCATGAATCTGTTTCAGTGCGTGCTGGCTGCAATTGTGGTATCTGCTGTGATGGGCCTGGTAAGAACACACAAGTTAGTCCCTGTTTTCTCATCAGCATATTCTGCATGTTGCAGTCTACCATTTGAAGTTATATATTTTTCTTAGTGTACTAATTTGATCTTTGTTCGTGATTGTATTGTAAGTAGCATATGCCCTACTTGGTGGCATTGCTCCCTTTCTTTTGTAACCAAAAATACCTTGCTTGCTTCATCTGATTATTTCACTTCTTTATGACATTTCTTTTTATTTCTTTGTTTCATCAAGGGTCGCTCATCCAGTGTACAATTTGTGCAAAATTTATTGTAGTTGTCTTCAATTTGATTACTCATAACATATGGTAAAATAGATTATGCCTATAGTCCTTTATGGTTCTAATGTTTCATTTTATTCTTTGACATTTTCTTAGGTGGAGCATAAAGAAGCCTTTTTCTTGTGGCGTGTGGATAAGAGAGACTTCTTTCTATGGATTGTCACTTGCTTCACTACTTTAATGTTCGGTATTGAGATCGGAGTCCTTGTTGGAGTAAGCATTCAAAATTTATTAGATATTATTATTGCTTTTGCACGCCACTCTAATATGTTCTTGAATTTCATGGATTTGTTAGTATTTAGCATGTGATTTCTTGTCAGTTCGTGGATATTAACATGTTAGTTTAAGCTCATATCTTGTGTGGTTTCTTTGAAATGAAAAATGAATTTTATTTGAGTTCTACAGGGGATATAACATGCAAAAATATAGCAGAGTTTGAACAGTTTTCCTGTGCTTAGTTGTTGAGATTCTAGTCGTAATCTTTATTGAAGTAGCATCTTATATCTTGGAGCATGTTACCGGCCAACTTCCCATATCTGTTCAACAGTGGTGTGGCACATGTAGTTCCCATCGCGTTTTGTCTGCATGATAATTCAAAGCCTAGGCATAATCATAGAATCTTCCTTGATTCAATTTTAGATACTTCTAATATTTTAAATAGAGAAAGGGAAGCAATCAAAGTTGAAAAGATAGATGATCAACAAACTAATAAGGTTGAATGACATTTTAGGATTCAGCGATATAGAATATTGGAGATAAGTAATGAGGGTTGAAAAGGATCTCTAGGATTGAACAATGAAGGTTGTAAAAGATCAGGAATACAAGCTAATAATATTGAGGAAAGAAAATGAAAATGGAGTAGATTATCCTTCTAAGATGCAGTGGAAGAAGCAAATTTGCTTTAATAATATATGGGAAGATGATTCCTTTCTTTTTCTTATTCAAGTTTACAATAATATTGCATATTTATGCATTGAAATAATCTATGTTAAAAAGGATTTGATCTTTGCCAAAAGCTTTAGCTCAAACATTATATTCTTTGGTTTCTAAGATAGTAGCATGTGGCTTGAAGGAATTCTTTTGCTCTTTATGTGGGTTTAAAATTTGTAATTAGTCTTGTGCCTGAGCACCTTATGTTAAATAAAATATACGAGACATATTTTTATCTTTTAAAGAAATAGGATTAATTCTTCAATTAATCCCTACACATTTAAGATTTTTAGATTTGGAGAAATTTAAAGAAAGAATAAATACATAATGAAAAGAATCAATGCAGATTTTGTACTTTCTAGATTTAGCTATTTTAGACAATGAAAATTTATATGCAGATGTCCAACAATATTAACTTTTTCTAACTATTCTATTTGAAATTTAACCCGTCTAGACTCTTATAAAAAGATTGCATGTTTTCTCATGTTTTTAATTATGAAAATTACTTTTAAAATTTTAATCCATATGTTGTTGCTTAGTGGGCCATATCTAGTTCTTATGATCGAGGCTTTATTTTTTGTAGGTGGCCTTCTCTCTTGCATTTGTCATCCATGAGTCGGCAAATCCACATGTGGGTGAGTTTAATGATTCGAATGGATCACCTCAACAAGTATATTAGCAGCTGGTAGACTCATCTTTAGCATATTCATTTAGATGACTCAATTATCGGAGAAATTATTCCGTGCAGAGTTCAGACGGGAAGAACCGTCCAGACGTACGAGTGTACACACTGTGTACAAATTTGTACACAGTGTTTATCAACTATTTGTACACAGTGTGTACGCTCACAGTCCGGACGGTTATTCCCGTCCGAACTCCGCACGGAATAATTTCTCCAGTTATCAACCGTTTGCCATGCCTACATTCCCATTATCTTCCTCTTAAAAAAAACATTTTGTCCTTCAATTGGTGAACTCTTATTGATTATCTTTGAAAAGGTTATCCTGTCATATACTGTGCTAAACAAGTTTCTGCTGCTATTCAGTACTGATATAACTCCACGAGTACGCATGATATAATGATTTTATTTATTATTTTAATTATATGATGATCTAGTCATAATTTCTTGCATGTGCTGGAATGAATCAAAACATGTTTTTGCTTAAATCGGTTTCAAAAAAAAAAAATTTAAGCCTCTTTTTAAAATTCAATTTCTTCCCTGTGGTTCGTAATATGCTAAATCGGAATATTCCTCATTAACAGATAATTTGAGAGTACTTGATTTCTCATTCGCTTCTGTAAATTGTCTGATCCTTTCGGATGAATGCATTTCTGCCCTTAATATCATCATTCAGAATTGTCACTCTTCATATTCAGCTAGCAGCTAATTTAGGATGAATTGTGCAGCTGTATTAGGGCGACTTCCTGGAACAACAGTTTACAGAAATATTTTGCAGTATCCTGAAGCATATACATATAATGGTATAGTGGTCGTCCGAGTAGATGCACCCATCTATTTTGCAAACACAAGTTATATCAAGGAAAGGTGAGAATTAATCTTAATACAAGGTTTCCATTAAGATTTTGTTTGGGACAACATTTTTACTGCTTCTTAAAGCAGCTTTCTAGCACAAAAATTATAATTTTTGTATAAAAAAGCTGCTTTAAGAAGCAGTAAAAAAGCCATCCCAAACTAAGCCTAAGACTTCGTTTGGGACGGCTTTCTTTGTGCTTCTTAAAACAGTTTTCTAGTATAAAAATTTTAATTTTTGTTTTAGAAAACTGCTTCAAAAAGTAGAAAGAGAGCCGTCCAAAACAAATCCTAAATCTTATTTCCAACTTTTGGTTTCTATATTACTAATCCAATCTATCTTTAGGCTGCGTGAGTATGAAGTTGATATATCGGGAAGCATCAAGAGAGGCCCGGATGTTGAAAGAATTCATTTTGTCATCATTGAGATGTCACGTGAGTTATTACACCTCTTTGTCATCATCGTTAGTCGTTCCCAACTTTTTTTTGAACAATAATAATCAAATAATGAATTCAAGAAATTGCTTTCAATAAAAGTTTCTATGAATCCTTCTAATTCATGCCAGGTGGATCTGAACGATTAGCTAATTGATTTTATTTGTTGCAGCTGTTACATATGTAGATTCAAGCGCCATTCAAGCGCTCAAGGAGTTACATCAAGAGTACAAATCACGTGGCATCCAGGTTAACTTAGCTTAGTTGCTTTTATATATATATATATATATCGCATTCATCTCAAAATAAATTTAAAATTTTTAAGATTACAGCATTGTTGAAGGATCCTAGCCTTTTATTTTTGTTTAATCTGCAGATTATAATAGCTAACCCTAACAGAGAAGTTCACCTCTCTCTTTTCAAATCTGGTCTTCTTGACATTCTTGGTAAAGAATGGTGCTTTGTGAGAGTTCATGATGCTGTACAAGTCTGTCTTCAACGTGTGCAAAAGCTGCATGGATTGGTGCGTAATAACTCAGACCAAACACCCAGGAAGCAATTAAGTTTTCTGCAGAGTCTTTGGAAGCAAGGGGAGGAAGCCAACTCTTACACTGAGCCACTATTGTCTGAGAAGGACGTTTGATTGCCATTTCATTGGCTAAATTTGCGACAAATCTCTGCGCACAATTTTGTTGTTGCCGGAGCATTGTACAATACGGGCATTATTGATGGTAGGGAATAATAATTCTTCTGCAAATAATTGTTCTGCACGTTGTCGGGCCTGTCGGCAACAGATCTGTTTGTTGCTTGTAGATGTGAAATTCCTGTGTGGATATATCAGCCGATTTGTTCAATTATTCATGGATTGATTTGTTGTAATATGTTGATGATAAATTCAGATGGCAACAAAATGTCCCTCATAAGACTATTTATTCTACCGTAAATATTGTACTGAGTTTCCTCACATGATAATAATGAATAATAGTTGCATAATTTCATTCTATCTTAAAATAATTGAGAGTAATATTATAGTGATTATCTCGCTAGAGATGAAATGTTACCGCTGGGAGGATCCAATTGAGGGATAGCATGAGGAAAGACATATCCTTCATATATTGGGACAGCGCACCATCACGAGAATCAAACGCAGTACTTGTATCAAATGAACCAAATATCAATAATAAAGTTATTTCTTGCATGAAAGTAAGCCAAGAATATTTACAAACCTATAATATCACAATTAGCATACAGAGGAAGCCAACTCGCCACGCTTCACAATTTTGCACCGCGCATGACGCTTATGTACGTATGTGCGCAGTCACCCTCCAGTCCCTGCACCATTAATCTAGCTATATGCTGTCCCGCAGCTCTCGCCTAATTCGTACGGGCCGAGTGACCGGGTAATCGACAACCGGCTGACCACAGTCCCGGCTATCTCATACTCTCGCTCAAATCGCACATGCGCAGCGCAATAGCGGTCAAACTCATGTAGCCTCCCACATCTAGTCGAAGCGCTTGAACTAGTTGTAGCCTTGGCGCCAAACTTGCATCAAGCGCGTTCACAACCCGTATCCGAGTTTTTCGCGGGTCAGGTCGAGTCAACTCAGTAAACCGCTAGGTGGGGCCCAGGTTGAAAATCCTAACCCATTTGTAAAATCAGATCGGATTAGGATTAATCCATTTTGGTCCAGGTCAATTCCGGTTAAACCCAAATCCAACCCGTTGATACGCCCCGCCTTAATCTTCCCGCCTATCATTCCATTTCGCTTTTGTGATCGCGGGAAATCCTTCGAGCATCCATTCCCCAGATGTCTCTTCCCCATAGCCTTGAGGAAGAGCTACCGACAGTGGACAATAGTTTTCAGCGATTCGGTGCCTCCCATGGCATTTTCTCGGGTATAATTCCGTTCGCTTACCCCTTTCGGCCATTATTTTGCCCTAGTTTCCATCCATTCTTCTTTCAGTTGTTACTTAGCTGGAAGACATGTGGAAAGTAATTTATTGCTATAGATTCGTATTTGTATTTTGTTATTATTTAAGGTTTCACATGAGTCTAGGTTTAAAGCATCGAAAAACGCAACTGAATGACATTTACGTTATAATCGTTTAATCCTCCCAAGAAGACATGGCATATGTTTTGAAAATTGAAACTAATGAAATAGATCCTTGGCACCAAACCCCGTCGGAAGTGTAAGGGCGGTGTTGCTGCTGACCTACATTTATATACCCCTGTAGAGTGCATGATTATCCAACAGTTTGTGCAAACTTAAATGTTATAGCTGTATTGTTATTGTGCAAGAAAAAGGCTTTCACTGCAAAAGAAAAAGACTTTTTGGTCGTTTAGAGGCATAGGCGGATCCACCCTATTCTGAGCGGGGGCAATTGCCCCCATGAAAAAAAAAATATATATATTATATGATTATTTAAGTAATTTATCCCACTCCATTTACTTTTTAGTCTTTATTATATGGATTTTTAGGCAATTGACCCCCCTAAAAGTTTTAAAATACTATGATCTTTAGGCAATTGCACCCAGCATAATTAAATGATGAACCAAATACAAAGGTAAATAGTAAAGAAAATCTAAAAATATCCTTACAACCAAAATTTGTTCCCGTCAGGGGGTGCTGGCCCTTTTGGACCCCCAACATATCTGTGAAATGTACAATGATCAAGGATATGAATAAATAGGGGTTGACCGACTTCAAGACCAAAAAAAAAAAAAAACTCTATACTTTTTGCCCCCCCCTGAAAATTAAGGTTGGATCCGCCCCTATTTAGAGGGAGAAGCTGATTATTTTGCATGCTGCCAAGGTTAGAGGGTTTAGGGATTTGACTTTAGATTTAGCTTGTGGCAAATAGATATGTCACACACTTATGATTTGTTTGGATTTCTTAATTTCAATTCAGAAAATTTGAACACATGATTCTTGTTGTTAGATAGGTTACAGAGGTATTAGGTTTTTTTTATCGCAACAACATATCATAGGTTTAAATAAAGTTCTACCATTGAATATAGGGGTATTTACATACACGCTACAAAATTCTTTTATATTTACATGTTGAACACCTAGATCTTTATATATATTTATTTAATGCTAAATCTATTAATCACATAGAAAATACACTTTACTGATCACATGATTCTTTTTGAATAATTTTGGTTGAAACCTAAATGTTATACCCTTAATCATTGCATATACTCCATTTTTTAATCCAACCTTTGTTTTTGGCATTCTGCAGCAGAGAAAGCTCTTATCCATGTTCCCTCAGTTATTGATGCTTCTACTAAGGATGAAGCAGACCTAGGAGCATCCCCCAAGGTAAGAGTGAAGTGCTCTTGATGATAACATAAAATAAGTTCCTGGTTGTTCCCTTTTAAATTATGCTTGCAATTTTCTTCTTTTAATTTTAAATGATATTATAATAATATTGTTTGCCTTTAAGAAGAAATTTTAAGTGGTTTTTTAAGATTCTATATATTTCAGTAAAGCCTTAGTAATATTTAAGCGAATGGAGAAGGGAATATAGAATTAATATGAAAGGATTAGAAACGAGAAGGGGGAGATCAAAGACAATGATGTAGGATGTCTTGGAGTCCAAGATTTGTATTACTGATCTTATATTTGATGCAGAAAATAATGCTTCAAACACACATAGAATTTCTTGAAAACAAGCTATTAGTCCAAAATTATTGTGGGCTGCCTTTGATGAAAACTAGAAAAATAAGGAATTTAATTTACACAAAAGGGCTGTGGTCTTTTATTAGAAATTAACTACTAAAATTAAAAATTGTGAAAGTCATGCACATTATTAAAATTTGAAGTAGTCAAAGAAAATTCAGATTTTATCAAATATAATTAAAGAAGATTCAATTAGCAATGAAAACTATTGAAGAAGAAGCCTCACGTAGGTTTAAATATCATGTGAGAAATTCAATATTAACATATTTTTGTGTGGTTTAATTTTGAGTCATTTGGAGCTAGATTGGATTCAAGTTGAAATGAAAATGATATCATGTGAGTCATGCATTCATAATTTTGAGCTTTCTATACTAAAAAAATAGTCAAGTTCAATTCAATTTCGAGTCAAATTATGCTAAAATTTTTTAAGTTAGTGCCACTAGCTTGCTTGAACTTTGACATGATACTATACCATTCTTATTGTCTTGTTTGAATTCCACATATCTCATGTTTACGCCAATTATACACTTGTAATTGTCATAGTCATCAATAAGCTTCAAGGAATATCTTCATGCACATCATGCTTGATTCATGCAGGAGTAATAATAACTTTTTATATGCTTTCTAATGAATACACTATTGATGCAAACAATCTCTGATTTGACCTTCAATCTAAGGCTCTGATACTAAATTGATGCAACATAGGTTCTCTGATACCAAATTAATGCGAACTAAGATTCTGATACCAAATTGATGCAAAGTAGGGCTCTGATACCAAATTGATGTACCCTAAGTTCTTAAGCCAAGTAGGAGAATACTATGAATGCAAACTAAAACGCTTCATTTCAATATCACATAAACAAACACAACAATAAAATAGGACACAACAACATTTCAACTTTTAATAAAACAGGACACAACAACTCCTTACAACTTATAAAAGTTTCGAAAAGAAGGATACTGGTGGAATAAAAATCATGGAGAGAAGAAGTAGATAGAAGTCCGAGATGAATTAGTAGAGGGTCGGTATAAGAAGAAGATAGCTCGCAAGATCAGAAAAACCCTCAGGTTTCACATTCCAAAAATTCATCAGATCTCTCCCTTTCACAAAGGAAATCAACCACATTATATAGGAGAAAAATGGAAAAATGATAATAAATTGCTCAATTAAATGTGCCACCAAAACTGACAATAAAACCTATTCAAGACAGCCCATTTAATGAGAAATTAAAACACTTGGCATAGG